CGACCTGGACAAGGTGCTGACCAAAGTTTTTATTCATCGTCGATCATGAGATTTCAGTACTCTGTAGCGGAAGTTTCTTGTTTTGATGCCAGAAAATAGCCAAATTAAATGACGCTCATTTTTTGCAATGTGAATATCATTTGTTTAAATTATTGATCACTACGTATGACCCTTTGATCCTTTGAGTAGTGTACAAATGCAGATAGACTTGCTCCATCACTAAGGTGGAAGCAAGGAACTGCATCTCTGAGAAGATTGAGTCCTTTCCTTGCCTTTTTGAGAATCAATGCCCAAGATTCTGACGAGGATCCCTCATGCAATCTTGGAAACTGTTCCTCCTCAGTGATGGAGGCGAGGACTGGCATCTGGCATCTATCTGAGTTACTTCCTCTTGCTGACATTCTCATGAACCATCTCTGTGCAGTCCCATAGGATCTTGTCCTCCATCGTCCTTCTCTCCAGGTTGAAGGAGGCGAGGGCGCTCTTCTCAGCATCATGGTCTGCTTCTCCTGGGGCATACCCACAGCTTTCATATGAGGAGGCCTGGGGACGAAATTAATGACAAAAGGAACTAAGTTGCAGCAGAAATTGAGACATTACTTCAGAATTATTTTATTTATAAAATTATTTAAATTATTTATTTTATTATTTAAAATAAATTTATTTTTAGACCTTTTATTTCATAAAAAGTGTTAGTGTGTATTGCTTTTCATCTATTTTTATGTCGGAAAATGAACTATGATGAGGATTCCTTTGACACTGCTGACCCATTACTTCTGAAAGTGTTTGTGATTTGTACTCTTTGTTAAAAATATTTTTCTAGACACCCCTTTAGGGTTTAGTGAATCGGAAGTGAGATTTTTCCTAACAAGCGAGGGCGCTGTTTTACAGTAATACTGTACCATCAACCAGAGAAGACCACAAACCTAAAATATCTATGGATCAACAACTCCTACAGAAATCAATAATTGTTCCCGAAAGTGTGGGCAGAAATATTTCAACAGAATGCTCAAGTCTGTTGAGTTGGATGCAAATCGGAAATTTTGGATGGTGACTGAAATACTGTTACGTTTTTACAACATGGTCCCTTTTTGTGTTTAGGTTCAATATTTGTCAAAATTAAGGTAGATCCCTCTTTAAATAAGACCTCTGAACACTTAAATTTCTAGACTTTATTTTTGAAATGATTTGGCAACACAGTTCTCAGTGCTCTATCAATTAGAACTTGAGAAAATATGTTAAATTTGCTTTCAAAATATTCACTTATTAACAGGGTTGTCAGGAACTTATCTGAATTTTTCGTAATGTGCACCGTGGCTTCTACTAATGGCTTGTAATAATGGGCAATATTATGAGGAAGAAAACTTGAACTGTGCCCCTGCTGTTGTTGGTCTAAAGGTATTATATGTCTGTGATTAGACGCATCATTTTCTGAGTTTCGCTATTAAAACTATGAAACCCAAATTACTCCTTGAACATGTTGAATATGTCTCAGGAAATGTGGACCATCAATCAACGGTAATTTGTCATGAAACAGCAACAAACCATGAAGGAAAAGGAACTTTAGGCCAGGAAAATGTGAACTATTCCAGTACAGTGGGTGCATTCAACTAGCTTGCCCTGGTACAAGGGTTTAACCTCATCCCTTTTGTCTTAATTGGTTTATAACACAATGCACATAACCATCCCTCGGTCAGGGTTGCCATAAAAGCTAGCCACAAGCACCCAAGGGCGGATACAGGACCCAATTTTGGGAGGGGGGGTGGGGAATGGGAACAAACTCTTCTGGGGGGGCCAAGTTTTTTTTTTTTCATTTTTAAAGTTGTTTCAGGGGTTAGGCTACATTTCCACTTTCAAAAGAGGGGAAATTAAATAGACCAAAAAGATCATTTCATTTTTTTAAATAAACAATTTTGCTCCTTTTTTGGTCACGATCCCAATTGGCCCCTCCCCCTTTCCTGGATTCATCCTTGCCGAAAGCCAGCAATGATATGAAACACAGGACTCTTACCTGTGCTACTCATGAAGTAACCTGCCTCTTCACTTTGGAGATATCATCAGTCAGTCCACTTGCACCATGACACTAGCCAGCCTCAACATTCATGTAGGCAGCCATGGCAGTACATGTACATTCACCTGGCAACGAGGCCTTCCCAAATCTAAACACAGGGAAAAATGACAAAAAACAAGAAAAGGTCATCTGAGGATTTTCAGTCACACTGTTATAGTAATTTTTTTCCTCAATTAGCAAAACATCCACGTTTCAACCCATCACCTCTTATTGTGGGTCGCTGTTAAATTTGTAAAACCATACAAGTACAGTGCTGGGGAGTGCAGGGTGTAACAGGCTGGGTGGGGTCAGGACCCAATTTCATGGGGTTTCTTAACACAGTCTGAAGAAAAATTGGGCTAACTTTAGCAGAAAAACGTGCTAACCTTGTGCACTATTTCATGGCGGTGTAGGGGTGGTTGTGCTAACGGCTGCATGCGGATAGAGATTTCTATTGTTACATCACTAAGTTTAAGCACATCTTTCCTCCAAGGTGTGGATGCATTTGGCTGTACCTGCTGTTTATGGTATGCATGAAATACGCGGAGCCTCTGCAAGCATGAAATCACGTGCTAAGCAGCGCCGAGAAATTGGGCCCTGGTTGTTACAAGCAAGGTTCCCATGAAATCTGAAAAACAAATTCAGTGACCTTTCCTGCACTTTCCAGAACTAAAATATGACAATTTCCATGACATTTAATGTCACTCTGCACAGAAAATTTGTTTGGTATAATAAACGGGAAGACTGCCATAGCCACTATCCATAACCACCATCAAAATCATATTTATACAATCTTGATTTCCATGATTTTTCCTCAGACCAATTGTCCATGAGTTTTCCATGACTTGCCGGGACAACTTTTTCCCAGGATTTTCAATGACTGTGGGAACCCTGTACAAGGACAAATGGGTTCAAAGTACCGTACAGTCTATCATTTGCAGTTATCCAAAAGGTATCCAAAATTGTTGTTGAAAAGCATACTTGGTTTAGATAGAGGACTAAATTCTGTGAGAAACTGTTCTTTCTGGCAAACGGTCATCATGAAGAAACAATGACTTCAAGCAGGCGCCTTCTCAAATTTTGTAACCAATGTAACCAAGCTCTTTTAGGGATAAGACGTTAGGAAGTACCAGGGCCAAATCTACCTGCAAAAGTTGATTTCTTCACGGATGGCAAATATGATTGACAAGTGACAGCTTTTGTACCTGCTGTTTTCTCCATCCACTGTTCTTGTTCCTCATCACTGTGGGAGTAGCTGTCACTTGGGTCCTCACTGGAACTTGAGTCTCTCTTGAGCCCACGTCTTGAGAAGAACACAAAAGAGGTAAAATATGGATATCATCACTGACTCTAGGTGTTAACTTCAGCAGTGAAAACAGAGTGGTGACTTCATCATAAAAAAATTGAAAAAATGAACAAAAAATGTAAGCATTATCATTCCTTAGAGGTAGCTGCATTGCATTGTTGAATTTGTAGAACAAAGGAAGTCACGGTACAAAGGTTTTGCATGGAATTGTTCATTTTCTTTTTGATATCTAGGGCCTTTTTACACACAGTCTGTGGACAAAGTACATGTACTTACCTTCTCTGTCTGTGCTACGGCTAACATCAGAGTCACCTTCATCATTTTCTGCGAGGCCAAACTTGTCAGAGCTGACAAAGTGTAGACAAAGTAATAATTATTTAAGCAGCAAGACGTAAGGACAGCATAGAAAGACGGTGGTTTATGGAAACCTTTACGAATCCTAAAAAATCCTCTCCAGAGTGATACATTCTCCAAATTTCTACAGACATTTTATTAGTATTACTTATTTGGCCATCAAGCAAAACAATACAGAAACTGTCGGTGAAATAAAACAAACTCAACAAAACCAGAGGAAAACAGGAAATAGATAGTGAGGTGGATGAATGGAGAGATAAGAAAGGGAAAAATAGGCAAAATGGAGACAGGGACTAAATAAAAGCATTATAAGCCGGCCTGGATAGACAACAGTATAATTAAACACATTGGGCCAAGGACCTGTCTATCCAAACTTAAAATGCCAACACAGAACATATATACATATGTGATCAATCATTTGCATATTGTCACTGCTCTGGGCCCAACCTCACTCAGCCAACGCACAACACCCCCACACACCCCAACCCATCCCACCTTTCTCAAGATACATCTACATCCTGCTCAAGCCAGTTGCTGTCCTAGTGAAACGGCCCAGAGCACAGACAATATACATGAAATAGTGCATTTCTATATAATTGCTATAAAATTAGAATAACATCAAAAAATAACCTTTTAGAAGCTGGAAGTTCAAGTGTCATTATTCAGTTTAACAAGAAATTTCTGAACATTTCCAGGTATGTATGAATGCAAACTACAGGTCATAAAAGTGGGCAATTGGGTTTCAAGAGAAACACGTTAGAGAGTCAACTATCGCAGAGTCCTTAATGTGAGATGGGAGGCTCGTCCAGATGCACGGAAATAAACAGATTGGGGTGTTCTTCTCAAGGTCCCACCCAGGTCTCATACACGTATATAACCCTAACTGAAGATACCAAAAGTACCGTCCAATCTGGGCTAGGTGACAGGCCCACGCTGAGAATAAGAACAGGATTGATGGGGAAAAGATATTTGCAATGTTGAGGAGGTTCACCTCCCGAACTGTGGGGTATGCCTACAGGATGTTCTAAAGTCACTAATCTGTGTGACTTGTGGCCATGTTTGTTTACATGGGATTGCAATGCTGTCTGTTTTTTGAAGCCAGCCTTTGAGGTACGGTATCATGACCAGTGACGCAAATTCAACCTTTTCGATCAAATTTTCACATGAGAGCAACCTTAAGGTACCTACATATATACAGTACCTCTTCAAAACTGTGTAATTAATGCTGTTTTCAGACTTAAAGACCAATCTCATTTTGAGAAATTGGAGGGTTTATTCATTTATCTCCCGTTTTCTTCCCAACAATCACATTGTACTGAACAATCTGCGTGCATCACATGCTCAGTGCACATGCGCGGGCCAATTGCCAATTTAGGGGGCGAAATCTTGTTATTATCACATGAGTGGCCTCTGAGCTGTGTGACTGGAGGGCTACCATCAGGCCAAGTGCTTTGCTAGCTGTGACAGGTTAAACACTGCCACCTCCAAAAATAGTTGAAATGACATGCGGAACTAGCTCGGCTATACTGGCCCTTTCCTGTCCCTGCATGTGCACTGTGTGATGCACACAAAATGACGGGACGGTGCGATTGTTTGAAAGAATAAACAGAAGAACGATGAGGAAACCCTCTGTGATTTTTGGTGTAAAAACCTCCTTTAGCCTGGGTACCTCAAGCTTAATGGTTGCTCTCATTCTCAAGGGGAAATCTGATTGGAAACAAGTGGAATTTGCACATGTCAGTAGGCCACATGTGTAAATATAGTTAGCAATGTTAGAATTCTGGAAATACTTATATGTCAAAGTTTGTCAGTAAAGCAAGAAAGACTGGGATTTTGCCTTCTCATCTGAGGTAATTAATGATGCATCCAAGTGCCTGGCCTTCCCAAATTACAAAGCCAGGCATCTCATGTACATGTCAGTATAGGACTGTATGTGTAAATAAAGTGTGTATACAATGTTAGAATTCTCGAAATACATGTACTTTAATACAGGTATGCTAAAGTGTGCTGAAACTAGCTTGGAAGATTTTTATTCATGCTGCAGCCAAGTTCCTGCCTTCAAGAGCTGACGAGACCGAGTTGTCTTGGGACAGAGTTGACCTGAGATGGAGTTGACTAGAAGCGAGTTGATTTCAGACCAAGTTGGCGACTTCACACTGACATGACTGATGAGTATACAGTGTGGCACATCGCCAAAATGCCATGTTTCGCTGAACCATATCCAAATCTTTAAAAAGGCAATTTGTAAGAGTCCAAGTTGCTCAGACCATTTAATTGATTGATCTACAGGAACAGGTACATCATCATGCACAGCATGCCAAAGTGAAGTTGGGCTTGTATCATATGTTGGATGGCCTTGTAATACAAGCTACAGGTAGGGGGGAGCACATCAGACCCAAGACTTGAGGGATAAACAATTTGCAAGATGTGTGCAAGTCATTAGTCACTAGTCATGCTAGTAACTTAATGGGCATATGATATAGGCCCTACTGTAGCTGTAGGCCTAGGCCTATAAGTTACCCATGTCACTTTCATAGAAATGGGCCATGCACATGTACTGTAGCCAGTAAGCGTAGGCATGCCTAGCCTGCTAGTGTTGATCCTAGTCCTGTAATGGAACTGTTTGCCAGTCTAATGTGTTGTTTGTATTGTGCGCCGATTGGCAAGCTGGCTCAAGTTCCAAGGGTTGATCATCTATGTAAATAAACCAGTCGTTTTATGTCTGTATTTCTGTTATTAATTCACAATTTCTCGTGCTTCTGTCTACACAACCTGAACAAATATACGACAGGGAAACCGTCATAGTCCTTCATGTAGGATTAGTCTCAACATGGTATTTTCCTTTCGCCATGGTCTCATCACTCTCAACTGAAGCCTTACAAAGTTACATGATGTAGCATAGAGGAAGGAACACAGGCGGCAGGCCTATAAATTTATGTAAAGTATGGAATAATAAAAGCAAAATCCATTGTACCTACTCCATCAATGTCATCATGAAGGTGTGTCAGCGATTCCTCACTAATTTCTTCAATACACAACGTCGCGAAAATTCGCTCTGATAGTATAGTACTACACGTGCACGTGTGTCACCGCACCCACGTGTTGTTTGCACTTGTTGCAGTGTATCTGTCTGTAGTCGGTCCGCCATATGTAAATGGTTTTCGATGCAGCGTCGATCAGCTTCGCGTAATTACGTCACGCACGGAGTGCCTGGGCCGTTTTCCAATACTCGACTTGAGCTCCGTATCAGGCTTCAACTTTTTTTTTTTTTTTTACTTCCTGACTTTTAGGTTCTAAGCGCAGTAGTAAGTCTAATAGTGCCAAAAAATCAAGTAAGATGCAAAAGAGCCAAACATTACAGTACTTCAATGAACTTTAACAATTCAGGCCCACAATTGGGAATTAGTTTCCATCACGAAGTCTGCTACGGAGACGAATTGACTATTGGAAAACGGCCCTGGCTCACTGGACTTACTGGCTTGCGCGCGGGCGGCGTGTGAAGTAAAATGCGCCCTCAAGTGACAACAGTAATCCAGTCAAGGTGACTGCCCGTTCGTTCAAATTAAACTATGCGACGGTCAGGGTGATTTTCTGCTTTCCAGAGTTGTAAGTCAATTATCGTCGCTAGCCTTTTTTCTTTTCTTTTCGTCTTTCAAGAAGCAGTGACTTTCTTGTTGTACAACTAGTGTCACACACAAGCCCGATATTGAAAACAGAAGACTTAAGCGTGCTAGATTTGCTTTTTCTCTTAAGCTTCAGCGCCCGTATGTGATTTTGGCCCCGCATCAAAATATTTCATTATCCATTATTTTGAGGAAAAAAAGAAGAAACGTTGAACTTGACGAAAAATCTACCTCCCAACATCGAAAGTTACGTTCCGCCAATCCCAGTCATCAGTTCACAAAAAATGTAGAGCCCAAATGCCCGGTGGGCACCTTGTAAGCCTATCTGGCCACCCAATGGTTTTTATGCATGTGAAAAGGGTATACAGTGTACAGTATATGGAAATAGCGAATAATGAAAAAACGCATTTAAATTTGAAAAACCCTGACGAGAAACAATAAATTTCATTGGCCTTATCAATAACTTCTGTTAACCACGTATATATGCCTTAGACCCTCACGAAATCTAGTTTTCTGCCACTTACAATACCAATTCTTGTTGCTGACCACTGAGGTTTGACAATCGGCATGCCACATGCATATTTATTATTCACCATGATGATTATTGCCATAAGTTACTGTAGCAGAGACGTGACGATACGGACCGGACCCGCTGTCAATGGCAATGTTTGTACTGATAAAGGACGCAAGAATGTTTCCCGTAACGAGGAATGTTTTGATTCCACTAAAAAAAGCTCTTAAAAAATCATAGTTTAAACAAAACTAATTACAAAAACTGCTTCAGGTGGCACAGTTATCGCGTTTAATGAACCACTTGCTTTTTTTGTTTCGTTTTTAGAAGGCGAGTCCAGATACATTAGCTGCGGCGGGTGGATTTTGCTGAGGGAATTTGGAAGCAAGAAATGGCAGACAGAGTCGTTATGTTATCCTGATAGGTACGAAAATGCTACAAACGTACCGTGAAAGATATTTTTCAAGCGTGGCTCAAACAACGAGGGCAGATCCAGGGTTTGTCAATAGGGGCCAGGACCCCCCTCCCCAAAAGGGGCTTCCTTGTTTAATAAAATGAGAGAAATGCGGCTTTCTTGGGCTCATTTCGCTTACCTTCCTTTCAAAAGAGTACAAACAGCCACAAAATGTCGCCTCACTCCTCCAAAAGGCCACGCAAGGTTACGTGACAGACAAATCCGATTAGTGTGACCCCAAACAAATTTGGCTTCCGAAATTTGGTTCTAAATTCGACCTTGCACATTAATAAAATTCACAGTTCATTTTTTTTTAAACAGGGCTCTGAAAAATCGAGCCATTTTGATTTACCCACATTTCCAGATGTTACAAGGTCAAAATTGTTTTAAGTGTAGCTGCAGTGAATTTTTTAACACAATTTTCCTGCAACTTCGTATTCTTCTTCAATATATGAAAACTCTTAAACTTTCCTATTTGGTTCAATGCATTGAAAAGTGCCCTTAAGCTTGTTAAACATCTAAAATAGTAGATACTTTCTTGGACAACAGAGGGCACTGTTGCTGTGAAGTCATCTAGGGAAGATATGATTTTTTTTTCAGTGCGTAGGCTTTTCTGTTCAAATTGTGAACCCAGAATTTACTTCCTGACAACATTTCTGAAAAAGGATTGATGCTTGCTTATATTTTGCTGTGCACATGAACAGGAACTAATCGGCAAAGAAAAGAAAATTAAACTGCGTCCAGCAAAATCTGCAAAAATGCGGGACTTTGGTGCCTACAAAGCAATGTAACATCGAGGTTTCTTCCTGATGACATGACATCGGAGTTTTACTCATTAGCATAAAAATAAAAAGAGCAGTAAAATACCCTTTAAAAGGATGAAACAAAAAGTTGGAAATAAGTTTAACTGAGACAAAAAGTGCATTTAGAACTTACGGTCTGTATTTAAAACGTTGATTGCAGCTAGGGCTACCCTTTAAAACTACGTAGTCCATGTTCAAAGTGCCGTCTTGCTGTCCATCTGCCGGATTGGAATGAAAGAAAGACCGAAAAACTTCAGCTAACCTCTGTTTTCTGTAAGTTTTATATTGCAAACATCTTTAAATGTAAAGCAATTAAGGCGTTATTTCGCCGCGACACAGCCTATTCATTTACAAAATGAATTAGTTTTGATCCCTGCGAAAACCTATAAACATTGAACATCAACATTCCCCTTCCTTTGATTAAACTTTCATAGATAAGACTGACATTCAATAGCCCAGATGTTCGATACCAATAACGCAGTGCTGGCACTTTTTTATTCGGGGGGAGTCGCAGTCACTGTGGGTCGCGGCGGCAGGCTCAACCCCTCCTCTGTCATGTGTTCGCGGAAGCCGGGTGGCGTCACTTCAGGCCCGGGCCGCCGTGGTCAGCTTGGCACACTGTGGCGTTGTCGTGGAGTATCGACGCAGCTGTGTACTATTTGCAGGAAACGAACAGACAGCATCATACATGCATGGAGGGCGAGTCAAACGCACAAAAACAAAAGAGCTTTTATTGCCGAACAGTTGGGTAATTTCCCCCCAAAGTTTACGTCAGGTGGTTTAGCCAAGGACCATTATTGTTGCGTGAAGTGGTACTGCCCAACGTTTACCCTCCTCTTTTGGGCAGTGAAGGCACACAATATTCACAGAAAGTCGGGTAAATAACCCAACCTTGACAAAAGTAATGATCGTCGCCCGAACGTGACCCCGGGACATTTTGAGCGCACTGCACACAGGGGCGGATCTGGAAGTTTTTCCGGGGGGGGGGCTCAGGCTGAAGTTTTTTTCATTGTCTCACGTTTGTGGACAAGCAGAAACGATACTGAAACATTACACATGACATACATTGTTTGCAATGGTATTGGTACCCTAAACTTTAGCAATTTTAACAAATCCTCCCCCTTCCCCGTTTTTTTTTTCTGCATCACAGAGCAGGGAGGGAGATCGACCCCCTACCCCCCCCCCAATCTGCATCTGGCATAGCAGACAGAAAGGCAGACGGTTATTATTGTACTGGTCAATATAACACCAAGTTGGATCACTATTTTTTGCACGCGAAGAACCAATCACCAAATCTTGGGTGGGTGCATGAAGAGGGTAGCGCTAACGTCAGAGTTTGGAACCAAAATGGCTGTTCTTCATGTGTGCAGTAAAGCATGCAGCTATTGTCCGTGTGCGCTGATGCCTTATCCACCATTTTGGTTCCAACAACTGAGACACTCATGTCGACACTCTCGTCTCTGACGGCACAATCGATGAGCACGACTGCAGCTATGCAAGTCGTTGAACATTAATCCCCAAATGCCTGTCGATCAGAAATGATGAAGCGAACGACTTGGCCACGATAGACGGCCCTCAAAGCTTACAGTGAGAATTTTGAGTCGACTGCTTATTCCACCGCAACGGAAACATGCCGCTACCCGCTATTTCTACGCTACCAATATCAAGGGGAACCCCCTGCCTGAGTTTCCGCTGACGTGACACGCACCAGGGAGAGCTGACTTGATGGTCGATGTATTGATGCGCAAACTTGTTGCCATCCATCGGATTTGTACACTTCTTTGATACCATTTTCCTCAATTCGAACTGTTGATAAAGCCTGGAAATTGCAGGCCGGTAAAGAGGCGGGGGGGGGGTGAGAAGAGCGGAAGCAACCAGCAGCACTGCATGCTGGTAGATTGCAGAGAAATTCCGACAAAACTGTATGAGCGTTCCGAATGGCTCTGCTTTGCGATGGAGTGTTAACATCAATTTACAAAATGGCGATGGCTTTCACGACTAGTTTAAGGGTGATCATCTTGAGATGCAAGTAACCCCGAAGGGCTGATTGTTAATCCAGCAAAAAAAGTAAAAAAAAAAATAGGAAATAGGCTTGAATGTGAGTGAGTTGATGTGAGTCTTTGAACACCTGAAAAACTTGTATTTTTCCTCATTTTGTTGTAAAGAGGGTCAAGTATCATTGCTGTCAACGGCAGCCTATTTACTGCTGTACAACAGCTTGCAATACGGGCGATTCACAAAAGTGCGCCTCCAAGAGTTTGCAACGCGTTGGCCAATCACAATGCGCGAAATTTGTCGACCCGACGCGCGTTTGGAAAGGGTCGACAAATTCTGCGCGTTGTGATAGGCCAACGCGTTGCAAACTCTTGGGGTCGCACTCTTGTGAATCGCCCGTATTATATTGATAACCAGTTGTTCTGTCCTTACAAGTTACACTTCCTTTGTCTGGCGCTACCTACGTACACCGTGTACTAAAGACAACATAATCATATTAATCACTCGGCCTCCCGAAATCTCGTCACTTGTGAGCGTCATATGTAACATCATCGCAAGCAAATGCTAATATTCTGTCTCAAGTAAATGAATAATTGATTCGTGAAATGAGGACAGTTACACAGGTGCGTTACCCGAAACGCAAGCCCCAACTAACAGATGCGTTACGTGAACGGCGCCTGCGGCTTCGCTGTCGGTGGTGCACGCAGGGCGGACGCCGAGTTCTCCTTTACAATGACGCTGGATTTAAAAAAAAAAGAAAACAAACAAATAGTTACACGAGCAACTACCCCCTTGGCCTTGTGAAAGGTACCCATGCATTAAGATCCCATCTGAAACTTTCACGTACCCGAACTGTGTTTTGAAAGCAGTAAACATTTACTATTCACAACAGCCCATATTTGTTTTCATTGTTATTCTTGGCTGAAAACAATTTACCCTCGGGGTTATCTTAAAACTTTATTCGTGAATCAGTGTAATGTAAAACAAGGCCGGAGCATTTTAAGAGCGACCCTTATGGACTGTCGGATAGTTGAGTTGCGAATTAAACACTACTAACCAAGGACATACGCGTCAGCCCAGTAAC